CTGTGGTTGACTGACGCAGATGATCGCGAAGAAGTCCTTCGCGCTCGGGATTGCGCTAAGTATCATCAGAAGAAAGCTGCGTTTGGATCTAGCAAGAATCGGCGGAAGACGACCAATACGGCTCCCTCCGCTCCAGCGAAACAAGTGCGTGCGATCCAGGTCCAAGCTAATGACTCTGGATCTGACAGCGAATCTGACGAACCGGGTGGATCCGACTCCGACATCGACAGTCATCGCAGGATCTTCCTTGCAGCGAATGAAGATGTGACCCGGAAGGTGGAAAAGGAGTCGGCGTACCTAGATTCACGACTTCTAGACCATGGTCATGGCCATCAAGATCACAACTCGAAGATCCACGGTAATGGTTTAAACCGCGATCGTTGCTCGAATTGTGGATCCAGAAAGCACTCGGATCTTGGTTGCTGGATACGCGTTACATGCACGAAGTATGGCAAGAGAGGATATCCGTCGGATCATTACCTCTTCGTGTGTCACGGATATGGAGAACTACATGACATGGGAAAATGTCCGATGGAAGAGTTCTACAACCAGATCCGTCAGTGGTTTAACCCCACGAAGCACATGTGTATGTTACCCGAAGCTGCTGAGAAGATGTTAAACTAGGACGCTCGTCGGGGTGGAATCCGAAGCGAGCCGAACGTGTTAGATACTGCATCTATGCATTTGTGAACAAGACATCGGTAGATCAAGTTAGCAAACGACCAGATCTACACGGTAATACATATGATCTGTATGGGAAACATATCTTCGCAATCTCCAGTCTTCGCCAAGTCAACGAGTATGCCAGGTCTGAAGTCACCATGAGTGTAGATTTCCAATCAGGAGAGTCACGATGGTTTTGGGGACAGCAAGATCCAGATCTATGGTTTCAACCCGCAGATCACGAGGTTACTTTGGAGATCAAGAGACCTAGGAAGATCTCGGCGTACCGACGGTCAACAACCATGGATCTACTACCGGGAGAGTCTTGAGGTTACTGGAAACACCATTCGCCAGGAAAGTGGTTTCGCCAAGCCAAGATCACAGGCTAGATCCACAATGAGAACGCGATCTTACGCGTAGATACCGGCGCCGAGGTGCCCATCGTGGACACCACCTTTGCTCGTAAGGTTGGGTGCTATATCGACTCGAGTCAGATCCAAGACTTCGTGGGGATTGATGATAATGTGTACCGGACAGAAGGAAGAACCCGGATCAAGGTGACTTTCGTTGGATCATTGGTACATTTCTTCGATATCTGGGTTGGCGGTCTGACTGGCTAACAAGCTATACTTGGTATGGACTTCATGGTTCCAGCCGGGAGATCGATTAGCTTGCCGAATGAAGTCCAGATCGAGCTTAGCGGAAGACGGCAACTCTATAGCGACAAGGCGAAGATCGTAAATGTCGGTCAAAAGCTGCGGATCCAAGCAGGAGAGTCGGTGGAGCTGCCATTGCGCCTGAGATCGTCGATCCACGCAAGCTGTGGGTCACACGCGGGGATCAATGGGCGCCCACCATATCCGAATGGGTCAGGGAGAACGAAGTACATCTCGATCACCAACATCGGGGGCGAGGCGTTGATCCTACATCAAGACCGGCGGATCGGGATCTTGCTGGCCAGGGATCATGTGCCGCGACTTCCGGGTTTCATCTCGATCGGGTATCGTCGTTACATGTAGTGGCAGAATCAAGCGTTAGAGGCCACGACAGACGCTCGATCCGAAGACCTGGAGTTCGAAGTCCCGCTTAAGCAAACTCCGCGTGAAATACTCCAGAGGCCGAATACGACCTCGATCAAGTGTCGGAATGTCGAGGCGAGTCAAGATCAAGATGTTCCTGACTGCCTACCTTCGGGCAACTCGCCCTCGGGTAAGTCGCCGTCGGGCAAATCGCCGTCGGAGATTCGACCGTTGGATCTAGCGTCTGTCGCAAGAGAGGAGTCGGGTCTGTCGTCTATGACAGATGAAGACTCTATATCGCATGTCGTAACGGTCAAGGAGACGCTAGAAGATTTCGTTCAAATTACGCCAGAAGACAGATCTCGTTCAAATTACGCCAGACGACTGGGCGACAGATCCGGCGTAGGTGGAAACTAGAAGTGCTCTGGAAATGCGAGAAGAGGAAGGTCGAGATGGAATTGGAGCCGCCAACCAAGATCAACTACATTTGAGATGCCAGGATTGATGAACATCACCGTCGAAACGCGGTGGATCAGATCCGTCATTAATGATGAGTGTACAACCTAGGAAGGGACGTGTGGCCAGTGATCCGTTGAACGACAAGTGTGTCGCATCTAGGTTTCAGAAAACGGACATGGATCCGCCACCTGTTGTTTAAGATCAACCAGACGCGTTGGATCTGGACCTCACGTGGGACTCAGATCAAGATTATGATGAATGTGTATACTACCATGAAGGAAGTGATCTGTACGCGGGAGATGTCGACGGTCAGATGGCGGTACTGCCCGAAGTGCCCGTGACGACGGAAGATGTGAAGATCGAAGACATTCCGCTATGTGGATCTGATAACCAGACCCCAGAAGAAATTGATCGACTTCGCCAAAGGATCTGGAAGTTCCGACACCCTTGATCGGCGAAGGCAATGCCTCTCCGCCGGCGGCCAGAGGTGTTGTGTGTGCCATCGACGTCGGAGGAGCGAGACCTATCGTCCCGACGTGTCGTAAGTTGCGGGTCCAGTTCAGGGAGAAGCTGGTAGATCTGATCAAGGGTCTATTATCTGCCAAGATGATCAATTACTCTAGATCGCCATAGCTTCCCCGATCGTGGTGATCATCAAGAAGAATGAAGTGGATATCCGGTTGTGCATCGATTATCGGTTGGTTAATAGCTTAACTCACCTGATGATCTACCCAATGCTCTTAATCAACGACCTACTCGAAGTTCTGGAGTCAACACTTTGGTATTGTTCTTTGGATATGGCGAGTGGGTTTTGGGTGGTGAAAATGACGGACCCTACTCGTTAAACCCAGCTTTTATCACCCCTTTGGGTTATTTGAATGAAATCGAGTGCCCTTCGGCTTGAAGAATGCGCCCCAGATCTATCAACATATGATCGACAACGCACTATACGGATTCACCCGGATCCCGAAGTCTGACGATCATGGGAGTACTCTGGATGTCTTTGAGGACGGGGAACCGGTGGATTCAGGCAAACCATCGGTGCTTGGGCGTAGATCATACATCGATGACAACCTGATCCCGGCCAATAACTGGGATCAACTATGTGATAGAGTTGAGGGTCTACTCGAAGCGTGCGATATATGGAATCTGTCGATCAGTGTGGTTAAGAGTTTCAGGGGAATGCCTAAGATGGAATATCTCGGCCATAAGGTCTCCCACAACGAACTGGACGCGAATCCGAAAGATCTGTCGGCATTAACTAATCTAGCATTTTCCGGATCACTCAGGGCTATGCAGTCATTTTTGTGAAGTCTGAACTACTACAGCCGATTCATTGAAGACTATGTGATCTATGCGTCGGTTTGTATGAGTTACGAGAGATTGATTTCGCTGCGATGATGAAGGACAGCACCCAAGCGCAGATCCAACGAGTGTTAGAGGTGGAGAATGTAGATCAAGGATCGCAGGAAGATCAAGTGGTCGACCATTCTGCATAGTCGTCCCAGTCTTGTTGGTTGACGTCTGCGACGTACAGCTTCAGGGCTCGCGTCAGGGTTTGCACCGTTCGCTCCAAAAGACTTTGGATCTGGAGGCACAAGATCTAACTGAGGTGGATCCGCGTTGGATCCATGCCTGCAGATCCTTCAGTGTTCTTAAATCCATGATCGCCACTACCCCGATCCTGCGGCACTTTGATCCAGATCGAAGAGCTACGGTTGTGGTGTATGCCAGTGACTGGGCCGTTTCAGGAGCATTGACGCAGGAACATGACAAGTTCTACCACCCCGTGATGTTTGCCAGCCGTACTCTGAAAACGAACGAATTGAATTACGGGATCGCGGAGAAGGAAGTGCTAGCGTTGCTAAGGATCCTGGATGTTAAATATAATGCCTTGGTCAGACGTCCGACCCACGTATTGACCCGACACTCTACTTTGACGTGGCTCTTTAGATCTACGGTTCTGCAATGACGTCTGGGTCAGTGGGCTGCTTTATTGTCGCCGTGGACACTCGAGATCACCAAGGCTGTCAGGGGTGAGGACGAGATCTTAGGAGCATTGGCAGCCAGTATTACACCTAGATCTGAGTTGGGTAGGGCACTGATTTCGATTACCCTTAAAAAGGAACCACGACGCAAGATCCAGGCCCCGATCCCCACTATCAGACGTGACGAGGATCTATATGCGGTTAGTTTCGATGGATCCGCCCGTGCCAAGAGCGGTGGAGACGCCTACAGCGCGATCCTATGGAAATTGCCTGAATGGAGTGTGCTAATGGCTAGATCCGGCTATGTCGAAGGCCTAACAGTGAACGAGGCGAAATACCATGGACTACTGTTATGCTTGGATCTACTGGAAGACGTGGATCCACGGCGCTTGGTAATCTGCGGAGACTCGAACCTGGTGATCCAACAAGTACGAGGTGAAATTGACTGTAAGGCACCGGGTTTGACACTGCTACGCCAGAAGGCTCTGGATCGACTACGAACTTGGCCAGATCATGAGTTGTTGCATGTCAAACAAGATTGGAATGGGAGTGCCGACAGCTTAGTTAGTGCTGCGCTGCAACGACAATGTGGGATCGAGGTTGAGTCTGAAAAGGATCTCCGGGATCTAGTGACCTTGAAACGGTTCGATGAGATCCTTGTAGTGAAGATCGAAGACGAGGCCGCACAGATATCTGCTGTAACGACCCGATCTAAGGCTAGTTCTGGAGTGCGAGCTGGGTCTGATCCAGACTCACTACGAGAAGAAGTTGTTAGGGAACTGCGGATCGAGCGGATCCGGCGAGCGGACGAGGAGTCGTGGATCTCAGGATTGAAGAAGTATTTGGTTGGAGAAATCCGAGATCTGACACAGAAAGACGCTAGAATATTTGGATCCATCACCATGAATTATGAGGTAAATCAGTCGGATCTACTCTTCTATTGACCGACAACTAAGAAAGCCGCTGCGGATCGAGACAAGTTGATGCAATTGGTGGTGCCTGAGACGCTTCAGTAAGATATTTTGCAACACTATCATACGAGTCTGCAGGGTGATCATCAAGGAATTGGTCGGACCTATGATCGGATCCGCGATCGCTTCCACTGGAGAGGGTTATACGAGAGTGTGGGAGAATGTGTTGATTGTGAAACAAGCAAAGGACGACCTCGTATCCATGGTTAGCCACCTGGTAACCTTCAGGCAACATACCCATTCCAGATCATTGCCATGGATCGCATACCCTCGCTGCCAAGATCTTTCAATGGCAACACCGAGCTGTTGATCTTCGTGGATCTATTCTCTGGATACGTGATTGCCGAGGCCAGCGCCCCTAGATCTGCACAGATGATCGCTGAGACTTACGAAGAAAGCGTTCTCCATAGATTTGGTGCGAACAAAGTGATCCGGCATGATCGAGAGCCAGGCTGACTTTTTCAAGTCTTCAACTAGATCTTGGGTCAACGCCAACGCACTACTATGGATTACTGACCCCAATCTAATGGATCCGCAGAGCGGATGGTCGAGACTACTACCAGAGCTCTTAAGATGTATGTGCAGGATCTGGATCAACATGATTGGGACGAATACGCAGAACGACTCATCTTCGCGATCAACACCGCAAGAGATCGGATCCGGGGTGAAACACTTTTTACATGATACATGGCTGGGATCCTAGATCCAATCTAGAAACGGTGATCCCGGTGGGGAGCACTCGCAGGCACGATCGAGATCCAAGAAGGTGGCGATATCAGGTGCAAAAGTATTACCAACAGGCTCGAGAACAAGTTAACCGACGTTTACGCGAAGCGATCGCGGATCTAGCTGACACGCATACGCCCACATCCAATGGATGCTGGATCAAGAGTCCGGTTGTACTTGGATCGAGTGCGTGAAGAATATGCAAAAAAGCTGGCGCACTTATGGCACGGGCCATTTCGCGTCGCTGAAAAGATCGAGGAATATGCATTAAAATTGTAGATTGCAGGATCAACGTACAGCATCTTTCCGGTGGTACATATCTCGAAGATCAAACCGGTCAGGATGTTCCCAGATCGATCTGTAGCTCATCTACTGGAGTCGGATGCAGATCGAGTTGACTTCGATGAAGCTCTCCTACCTGAAGATAGTTGGATCCAAGATCGAGGTCCAGATGAATACGAAGTGGATCGAATTTCCGATATGAGGGACTGGTAAAAAGGATGAGATATGTACGGATCTATAGAGAGTTTCTGGTACACTGGCGAGGATATGAAGCTCCGACTTGGGTGGATGAAGCAGATCTCAACTACTTTATGCGTTTCTGTGAGACCGCGCTAATCGTACTAGGTTTGGTGTGATGCAATCTCACGAAGAACTGTGAGATCTGGATCGACACTGGTGAGTTGGTCATTGGTGCGGTAGAGGGGTAATGGGTCTGCAAGGAGGTTGCAGATTTAAGGCCAGGGCTTGTATAAAATTGTGTATGACGGAATGCCGAAGGAAGATCTATGTGGATGAGACCTGTATAAGTGGAGATCTAAGGCGTACGACAGCATATCCATGTGGCGCTAAATGAAGAACAACGACGTATGGATTTAAAAGGATCTGACATATATGTGACGAGGGGTCTTGGATCTAGGTAAAACAAACCTATCAGCATGAGGATCCACCACTATTTTGACAAGCTGAGAGCCTCGATCAAGGTGGCAGGCTCTCTGCGGTTTAGCTGTGGATCAGCGAGGTTGGCACGACTTGCCTCGATGGATACCAATGCACATCGTTGGCACGCTGTGGAAAATGCATGAAGAATGAATCCAGCAATAGATCCATGTCACACCAGCCCTCGCGCATGGCCATGATGAAGAGGGATAAGACCACCTTACAGTGGGCACCAGCATGAGATCTGCGGTTTTTGCGGTCCACGCAGAAGGTAGCCAGGTATAGATCCGTGCGGGGCAGCGCTGGGGATACGGGGAACCGATGTGTAGACTCCCAGTAGGCGATTAGATCCTGGATCTCCATGGCCGAATATCGTTCTACAAACAATCTCAAGTACCCACTCACGTCGATCACGAAAGAGATGGGTTCTGGGGTGTTGGCACCACCGAGCATCTCTCAGGGGCTAACGGCCATGATTGCTTGAATGTTGGTAGCCGTAACCAAGTGGCCACAATAGTCGGTCGCGGCCGGAGGGGTCACTCTAAGGGAAAATCCAACTTGGATCGAAAGGAAGTACGCAAGATAGAAGGTCGATCATCATGGTAGTCATAGACCAACTCGCACTACGATCTGGTATCCATGGATCGACGTTCGCCACGGCGTATGTGCGAGCTTGTCGGTGCCCTGGAATGCAGTCTTGATCTGCGGCAAAGGGATGCTGCGGAAGCATTACAGGATCCGTGGGGATGAGTGGGCCGGCTGGATCTGCAGGAGGGATGACCGGCACGTGTTCATCACCGAACTCATTGCCATCAGAATCGTCACCAGATCCAGCACTACCGACACCACCCGCAGCAGCTCGACCAGGAACAGCATGATTCCGCCGACGCTGATCAGATCGGGATCGAACAAGCACCATCAACGTCTACGCTTGGAACATGTCGTCGAAAACTTCGTCGCTGCTTTGATACGCGGAGCTCTCAGGAGAGGTGCCGGCGTCCTCAGTCGGGCCTGGATCTAACCCACCATCGTCTGTAGTATACCGACACGACGCGACGCCCCGCCCGTAGCGGCGGATCCGGGATTAGAAGGCTGAGAACTCGGTTGTGGAGCAGCCGCAGGAACCCCTCCGGTGTCGGACTCGCCAGACCCCCCCCCACGTTCGTGGGCTAGATCACGGGGATCATTAGTCGGATTAGAGTCATCTTGATCAGCATCATGATCAGGCTCCGCCCTACTGCCCATGTCAAAATCGTTTGGATCTTGGTCTTGATCCTCGCTCTCGTCGTTGTCTTCAACCACTGGAGTCTTGCGCTTGGATGGCCGGGCCGTGTCGGAAGGGGGAGACGAACTGCGAGTACGCTTTGGGGAATCTCCGGCCTTGGCAGGAGGGGAGGAGTTTTGCGTGGGCGCACCATCCGCGGAGGAATCTCGAGATCAATTAGAAGGCGGAGTAAATTCCGAATCTTAGTTGTCGGAAGGAGATCCTGGCTTGTTAGGGTTATCAGACGGAGGGTCAGACTTTTCTGGGTCGCTGGCCAAACGATCGGACTCCTCAGACGCAAGATATTTGCCGTAGGGGTCTCATGCTCACTGTCAGTATCTAGACAGAGCTGTGTAGTTGAAGGATCAGATCCCATACCAGCGGCCACAGTCGGCAGCATCTCGAGAGCTCGGCGGAGCTCTCGACACAAAGCTGTACGTTCACGATCCACAGCTTGTAGACTGCGACCTAGAGACAGAATTCTCGACTCAATCTCCGTGACCGTGCGCTCACTGGCGGCGTAGGCCGCCCGCGCGAAATTGACGTCGTGATCTACAATGGGAAGAATAATAATGGGTCAGATCGAGAAGTATATGACAATATCAATTGAAGAACACGTTACATACCCAAGGCACTACTAGTCTAGTGCAACTCACGCTGGCGTTTCTCGGCCTTCGCCAGATCCGCGCGAAGAGATTCATGGTGATCTTTCTCCCGCTGCATCTCGGTCAAGTTCTGTTGGAGTTGGTCTTGAAGGTCAGCAGCCACGCGATCTCGATCCCGCACTTGGTTGTTTAAGGTGTCACGTTCGCGAGAAACTCGAAGGAAGCGGTCGTGGAGAGATGTGCGCTCGGCTGCCAGTTGATCCAGCTTACTTTGGAGAGCAGCGGGATGCTGCGGGTCTGGATCCACGCTGGAACGTTGCCTCGATGTCAAGATATCCGCTTCTGTCTGATCCAAGGTCACACACGCGTGGTGGAGGACCGCCTCCGCGACCCGTAGTTGATCCACCGCCGTATCGCGATCGCGATCAGCTGCGTCGCGTTAGTCTTGGATCTCCAAGATCTCGTCGCCGGCTTGTTCCTGCTCACGGAGCAACTGAGCCTCTTGAGATTCGAGATCTGTAATGTGACTTTCGAGTTCGGGTAGTCTGGAGGCGCGGAGATCGGAGTCGGTTGGTAATTGCTCGTCCAGGTCGATAGAAGCCTGGAAACTATCACGATCGGAGCGGAGCCGATCTATGGACTGCTGCATGAAGTCGATCGCTTGCCCCTGCTCCTGGATGTAGTCGCGAAGATCGGCAAGACGCTCCTTGTGCTCGATCGACGGGGATCCAGTCCTGGTGGGGAGCGGACGGGCTGCCAATTCTGCAGTGAGTTCGCTGACTCGCGAAACATGCGCGTGGCGAACCAATATAACTCCTCACGGGTGGTGTCGGGATCGAATGCAGATTCAGGCGGTCTATCACCGTTGGATCCGTCGTGACTTGAGTCGTTGCCGGCGTGGGACATGGTGATCTGGGTGTTGGACGATGAAAATGAAGAAATGCCAGCAGTGTTACTGTTGTGCAGCAACAATTGTTTGACAGGAGGCGATTGTGGTGAAGTGGATCCGGGAAAATACGAAAGGGAAGACCGGAATAAGAAATGATGGATGGATCTAGGCCAAGGACAAGGCGGTCGATCTGGATCAGAGGAATCAGACGTGACTCAGATCGAACAGATTCAGAGACATTGGATTGGTCAAAAGTATCCTGATTATAGGAGCCTGATCCGAGTACGACTATATTTGATCAAGACGTGATTACTCAAGACCAATCCGGGTCAAGTAAACAAGGTATGTAGTCGACTGCGCGTATCAAGATCCGAAGATAAAAAGCTGCTAGAAGGGAAGGTAGGTGGATCCAGGTAGTAGAGGATGGGACGAACCAGGATCAAAGACATAAGAATAACGGAGAATCGAATTTGCATCATTGGGCACAAGTGGCTGGTTTCTTTATTTGCTCTACACTTAGTGCGTTACGGACACCTCGGATCAAGACATGTATCGACTCTACAAGGTGATGTGGCGAAGCGGAATCCGTGAAAATCTTGTGATCGCGGTTCCC